GTTGTGTGTAGTGTGTTGTGTAGTTGTGTGTAGTTGTGTGTAGTGTGTGTAGTGTGTGTAGTTGTGTGTAGTTGTGTGTAGTTGTGTGTTGTGTGTATTGTGTAATAGTTGTGTGTAGTTGTGTGTAGTTGTGTGTGTGTGTGTGTGTAGTGTGTGTGTAGTTGTGTGTAGTTGTGTGTGTAGTTGTGTGTAGTTGTGTGTAGTTGTGTGTAGTTGTGTGTAGTTGTGTGTAGTTTGTGTGTGTGTGTGTTGTAGTTGTGTGTAGTTGTGTGTAGTTGTAGTTGTGTGTAGTTGTGTGTAGTGTTGTGTGTGTGTGTGTTGTTGTGTGTAGTTGTGTGTGTTGTGTGTAGTTGTGTGTAGTTGTGTGTAGTTGTGTGTTGTTGTGTGTAGTTGTGTGTGTTGTGTGTGTAGTTGTGTGTGTGTAGTTGTGTGTGTGTGTAGTTGTGTGTGTAGTTGTGTGTTGTGTGTGTTGTGTAGTAGTTGTGTGTGTAGTTGTGTGTAGTTGTGTGTAGTTGTGTGTTAGTTGTGTGTAGTTGTGTGTGTAGTTGTGTGTAGTTGTGTGTGTGAGTTGTGTTGTGTAGTTGTGTGTAGTTGTGTGTGTGTGTGTAGTTGTGTGTGAGTTGTGTGTTGTGTGTAGTTGTATGTAGTTGTGTAGTTGTGTAGTTTGTGTGTAGTTGTGTTGTAGTGTGTGTGTAGTTGTGTGTAGTAGTTGTGTGTAGTGTGTGTGTAGTTGTGTGTGTAGTTGTGTGTAGTTGTGTGTGTGTGTGTGTAGTTGTGTTGTGTAGTTGTGTGTGTGTGTGTGTGTAGTGTGTGTAGTTGTGTGTGTTGTGTGTTAATGTGTAGTTGTGTGTAGTTGTGTGTGTTGTGTGTGTAGTTGTGTGTAGTTGTGTGTGTGTGTTGTATGTGTGTGTGTTGTGTTGTTGTGTGTAGTTGTGTGTAGTTGTGTGTAGTTGTGTGAGTTGTGTGTGTTGTGTGGTGTGTAGTTGTGTGTAGTTGTGTGTGTAGTGTGTGTAGTAGTGTGTGTGTAGTAGTTGTGTGTGTAGTTGTGTGTGTGTGTGTGTGTGTGTGTAGTTGTGTGTAGTTGTGTGTTAGTTGTGTGTTGTAGTGTGTGTGTGTGTGTGTGGTAGTTGTGTGTGTTGTGTGTTGTGTGTGTGTGTGTGTGTGTAGTTGTGTGTAGTGTGTTGTGTGTGTAGTGTGTGTAGTTGTGGTGTTGTGTGTGTAGTGTGTGTGTGTGTGTGTAGTGTTGTAGTTGTGTGTAGTTGTGTGTAGTGTGTTGTGTGTAGTTGTGTGTATAGTGTGTGTGTGTGTGTAGTTGTGTGTGTGTGTGTGTTGTGTTGTGTAGTTTGTGTGTAGTGTGTGTAGTTGTGTGTAGTGTGTAGTGTGTGTGTGTGTGTGTGTGTTGTTGTGTGTAGTGTGTGTGTGTGTGTGTGTGTTGTAGTGTGTTGTGTAGTGTGTGTGTAGTTGTGTGTAGTTGTTGTGTAGTTGTGTGTGTGTGTGTAGTTGTGTGTGTGTAGTTAGTGTGTGTGTAGTGTGTGTGTGTGTGTGTGTAGTTGTGTTTGTGTGTGTAGTGTGTGTGTTGTGTGTGTGTGTGTGTGTGTGTGTGTAGTTGTGTGTTGTTGTTGTGTAGTTGTGTGTGTTGTGTGTAGTTGTGTGTGAGTTGTGTGTGTGTGTGTGTGTGTGTGTGTTGTGTGTGTGTGTGTTGTGTGTTGTGTTGTGTGTGTTGTGTGTGGTTGTGTGTGTGTGTGTAGTTGTGTGTGTTTGTGTAGTTGTGTGTGTGTGTGTAGTTGTGTGTGTTGTGTGTGTTGTGTTGTCAGTTGTGTGTGTAGTGTGTGT